TGCTTATCAATCTCTTGATCCATATCTTCTATAGCATCAACAAACGACTCACTTGCATTTCTGGTAGCTTTGTCTTTTGCGTATATCTCCGCAAGAGTTTCATAGTGAATGAATGGAACTCCAAACAACCCTTTAGATTTCTTATGAGTCTGCCATATAAGAGAATATAACAAGTCAAAACATGAAAATCAGAACTGAACCAGGCAACTGATAAACTTGCACATCCCACAACATCTATGAAGATGTTTGGTGGAATTGGCAAATAGAAGAGTCAATTAACGATTCTCCCAACCTACATTATTGAGGGTATTGTGGTCAAATTAAAGGCTAAACATATGATCTTCATGACAATAGTGTTGATATTCTTGAGAAGGTTCTTGCAGGCTTCCATTTAAAAAAAAGAAATCTAAAGAAAAAAATTACACTATTATAAGTAAAATCTCTATAGAGACCAACTAGCCATACGAAATTTCAGGCTTTTACATGACAAATCCAAATGTCACTATCAGCAGATCAATCCTTTTCATGTTTGTACACTACATTAACAATAAAATAGGTTCCATAAGTCATAAGATAAGACTAGTATCATAGCATGAGACATTCACAAAGCTGAAGTACAAGAATCTAACTAGCATTGCTTACATGACGACTGGACATAGAATCCATGTAACTATCAGTGGATCACATCATTCAGTCCCTAATATTTGTCAGTGTACACAATTGTTTACAAAATTTTCTCCCCTGCAACCTATTCCCCTCCCTGTCCCCCTTCCCTGCACACTGCCCCTAACCCCTAGCTGAACATCTGCCCCTCTCCCCCTGTTACCTATTCCCCTCCCTTCCCCCTTCCCTTACACACACTGCTTCCCTCCCTACTTCTCTCATATTCACTATAAGTAGTGCCTTTGAAGAAAAGCACTACTTCAGAAAAAATAAATCTTAATTTGGACTATCATCAAAACTTGTGAATCTGGACAGAAACTATTCTAGATCATTTATATGGCATGAAACACCTATATCAAGCAGCATATTATGACAGAATCAGAAACTTAATTGACAACCAGATTAATGCAGAAGCAGTGGCAGTGAGTTAACAACAATTACAGAAGACCAAAGAGGGTGCAGACTACATACGAGCGTAGACAAAGGTAGCAATAGTTCATATGAACTCAGGTCATATGAACTATCCAGCAGCAGTTCTACAGATTGGCCTTTAATAGAATTACAATCTTCAGAAGAAGAAAAAAATGAATAAAGGTAGCAGATTCTAGGCAGTCTACTTGATGGGATCACACCATGGCAGAGAGAAATAGGACATGGAATTGAAACTGAAAGCAAGAAACCTATATTTTTGTCCCTATGATAGTTTAACAATCCAATCAACCAAGGATTACAACTATGCTATCAAACAGTCACAGATAGGCAGTACAATCCTACAGACCAAGCAGCACAACACCAACAGACATTATTCTGAGAGAAGAAACAAAGAGGAAGCAAAGATTGTTCATACCTTCACCCATTCGTCAATCACTGCCTTCCCTACTTGTAGCATCTTCTTCTCAGCATCCCATCCCATCCAAATCCTGAGGTGGACAACATTTCCGCTAATGTACTATATTTCTCCGACCAATGCTTAATCCTCGACTCAATGTGGGGAACCGCTTTCAAGCTGCAATTAGGAAGTACACCATTGATCATCTCTTCCAATCTATTCATGTAACCATTCTTATAACCATTCTCACACTTCCACTTCGAATCGCAACTCAACTCATGCAAATATCTTATTAGAGCCGCATCCTCTTCATACGTCCAATACCTTTTATTTTTACCTCTTCCTCGATTGCTTGCCATTCCCTTTAGCTTGACTAGCCTCCATCTGAAAAAATTGCAGATTAAAAGGCATATTAGAACTTAACAGAACAAAATACAAGGCAAATTATAATACAATTAACAGACCATATTACAAGGCATATTAGACAGAACTAAACATAACAAATTATAAGGCATATTAGACAGAACATAACATAACAGATTATAAGGCATATCATACATTTTGTGTTATTGACCATGTCTACTTCTTGCCCTCCAATCGCTAAATATATCTTGGGCTAATTTGTTTCTAAAATTGGTCCAATGATCTGAAGTAGCAACACTTGTAATAAATTCCCTCTCATCATCGGAATCACTCTCAGAATCATCATCGGAGTCACTCAATTCATCTTCATTTATATCATCTGTAGGCATGAATTTTCTAACTAGATTATACAATAAGCAACAAGCCATCACGATACGTCCATGAGTTCGAATAGGGAAAAATGAAGGACTTCTAAGTATACTCCATCTTCCTTTAAGTAGGCCAACACATCTCTCAATCACATTTCGCGCCCTAGCATGTTTAATGTTATAGAATTCCTCGACACTTTCGGGTTGTCGATCCGTCCATTCTTTTAAATGGTATCTTTGACCTCTATATGGAGAAAGAAAACCCTCACAATTCGTATATCCCACATCAACCAAATAATAATTTCCTTCAAAGTTATTAAACAAAAAGATTACTACCTACCAAAACTAACAAACCATATATACTCACAAAAAAAAAGACCTTCACTTACCTCGAGATACTCTAAAACCGTTTGGTCTAGAAAGAGCATTGCGAAGTACACGCATATCATGGGCCGAACCTTCCCAACCAGGAAGAACATAAATAAATTGCATATTAGGTGCACAAACACCCAATACATTCATAGCAACCGTTCCTTTTCTTGTTCTATACTTTGGTCATTCTTGTGAAGGGACATTTACATTAATGTAAGTCCCATCTAATGCCCCTAAACAATTCTACAAAAATAGGAAAATATATTACTTACAAACAAGCAAAAACAAGAAAATTCTAGCAAAATTTAGGGGCTTAAAAAATACCAATACCTTGAAGGATTTCCACCTTTCATCTTCACAATCATCCGATATTGGCGTGGGATTGTAAAGTAGTAGTTCATGCAACTTGAGAAAAGCCCTTAGACAAAGGTGAAATTGTCGGTTCACGGTTTCTGCACTTCTAATAAGTATTTTCCAATAGACCTATTCTTCTTATGATGAGCCAACGTGTATAAAAACATGCATGGTTACTATCTCTTGAAGTGACATGTTTTTTGTTCCACTTAAACCCCGAATGTCTCTAAGCATCTCACAAATAATATCGAAAGTTCTTCTATTAACGCGAAGCTCACTCTTGCATTTCATATCACTCTCCCTATAAAGCCCTCTCAATACTAACATTCGTAACAATTTTTTGTTTTTTTCCTTTCTTTTAATTGAACACCCCTTATTGTAACAACACACATCATATGCGATATCCAATACATCATCAAAATAATAATAATCATTGAAATAACCAGTTGTATTTGTTTTAGCTTTTTCTTCCTTATGGAGCACATAAGTCGAGGCATTGTAGAAACCTTGAAAAATCAGTCCAAAAAATGTACACTAGTATCAATATACACTAGTATTACAAACAACATATATTACCCATCAATTTAGTTGATGAATAATAATTTGCACTTATACAAATGCATTCAGACAATGAGAGCTATGATTAGTAGCACAAGATGAGCTTGTCCATGCAAAACTACACGCTGCTTTGGGATAGATAAGAAAACATTTTGGAAAAATCAACTTGTAATTTCAAGGAGTAAATGCAACAAATAAGTCAATAATAGCAAGCATAAGTCAATAATAGTCTTCTGCTAGTAACAAGCAAAATAACCAGCAAATACCATCCCAAATCAAAATTCTAATTAAATTAGGAACTTCCTAATAATTGGGGAAAATTTAGGGGAAAAACACAAAATAAATAGCAATACAACAATAATAGCAATATATACCATCAAATTTAGCAGAAAATCAACAAAAGAGAAGAAAATTTCAATCGAACAAGCAAGTAAAGAATTCAAACCAAAAACGGCAAAATTGATATCGCATGAACCCTAGAAATTGAACGAGAGAAACGAAGATAGCAAACCTGTGATAATGTTTGAAGATTTGCAGTAGAAAATTGAAAATTTAGGAGCAAAATCTGGGGAATTGCATCTTTCTTTGTAGAATTGTCGAACAATTTTGGAAATTTTCAGGAAATTATCGAACGAGCGAAGAGGAGAGAGAAGAGTTTTCTTTAATTTTGTGTTAGAGGAAGGAAAGAGAATCTGTTTCCTCACTTATTACACCGGAAACAATTTGGTGGAATAGGTTACCACTTACTAACGGTTTGTGTTACTTTAATCGTTAACCAAACACAATGTAACGGAAACACAAACATGATTTCGTTTCCACTCCTCTAAAAAACCTATACCAAACACCCCCAAAATGTTCAATATCACCAAATATAATTTGGACGTGCCAAATTGATTTTATTTGATTCAGCTCTTCAGCATCACTTTGTCTATCTAGGTTAATATCTGCAAGCCCTAGGGTTTAGCTATACAATATACATGACTAAAGACAGGATTAATACAAATTTAAGTTAAATTCTTTGTTCACATTTTAATGTCAAAAGTGCCCTGCTCCATGAGAAGCAAAGTTGATAAGATCATTCTGCTTTGCCTGTTCATCTAATTAGCATTGATAACAATAAGAGAATAGTTTCCCATTGCCACAAAGGTACAGAAAAATAACTTCATGAAATCGCCAAATCATTATTAGTGAGAAAAGACAATAGTAGGGATGATGCAACACAATTTCAGAACAAGCTCCCTGCATGAGTTACCATAAAGTTTGCAGAGAAAAGGTATTAGCTGCTAGCTATATATTCAGTCAATAATTGTGCAAGAACACTTCTAGCATGACACTAGTGCAAATAAAAAAAATTAGAAAACTCCAACCATCGGCAGTTAAGAAAACATCAGTAGACTTTCCAAGCTAGTTCAGACTTCAGAAGTCAATATGCTAGACAGGGGAGAATTCAACTACCAAATTGTGGTGGAAATCACCAAGGAAAAGGCATAATATGAAGTACAAATCCACTGTCAATTCTATAACAAAATTTCAGGGCACAAAAGCAAGTGTTTTGGTTTCATGATTTTTTTTGTTTACAACACTCACAACTGACCAGAAGTCAAATTACATTCTAGTGACTAACCCATTTCATTCCCATCAGCCCACACTTCTTCACATCACTCCAGCATAAAATCTAATACTTTAAAATCAATGTTTACACTGAATTACAACAGTAGTACATTAAAAAGTGAAGAGGGGGATTGACTGAATAAGGTGCTTACCATGTATACTGTACAACTAGCAACATGAAAACTCTGCTTTGGCATAGATACATCTCACAAAGTACTTGAACCAGGATTGTGCAACCAGCATGCTTTTTAGGCGCTATGGAAGTACTTAGATCTTACAACTTGCAAAGATCCTCTAGAGATACTAATAACCAAGACAGTATTGAAAAAGAAGTATAATTTAGTATCATCTTCCCATCTTACACAATGTGCAAGTGACTCCATCTCAGTTGATCCTTTAAGGTGCTTGTGAATGTTATCAATGTAAGAGGAATTGATTGTTACCCCTTTCTCAACCATATAATTGGCCAGCTTTTCTACCTCTTTCACAAGAGAACTATAGCACTCATCTTTCGAGACTTGACCTCCAACAACTACATCATTAACAAGTTTAAATGCCTTTTCAATATACCCTTCACGACAAAGACCTTGGATTAGCACACTCATAGTAATCCTGTTAGGATGGCACTTAAAACTCTCCATACGCTCCAATATCGACAATGCCTCAACGGACTTGCCATTTTCACTCAAAGTCTGGATAATTGATGTATAAGTAATGACATTCGGTGTACACTCCCCGCCTTCTTTCTCCATCTCACCCAACAACTCCAACGCTCTCTCGAAACTACCAGCTCTGCAAAGCCCATCAAGGAGTGCAGAGTATGCCACCAAATTCGGAACACATCCATGACTTTTCATAGTCTTGAACAACTGACAAACATCCTCCAATCTCCCAGCAAAACAAAACCCCTTTAGCATTGACATATAGGTAATCATATCAGGACACAAATCACATGATTCCATCTCTCTCATCAACCCCATTGCCCTATCAAGATCCCCCCTTTCACAAAACAACCCAATAACCACATTATACATCGTCGAATCCGGCTGACAACCAAAATCACCCATCTTTCTCAATACCCACAAACCCTCATAAGCACTCCTAGCTTCTCTACACAAATTAAGAACAACTTTAAACAATTTCACATTAGTTTGACACCCTTCAACCCCATAACACTCAATAATCTCTCTAATCCTACCCGAGTTTCGACGAATTTCGAGCAACTAACAAGCTAAGTTATACATATATTGAGTATGCCTATACTTAGGCTGTAAACCAGCCCATATGAAAAAACGAAGACCTAATTGGGGCTGATTTAAGGAAAATCTACGCAACACCTCAGTAACACATTGAACATCTAATTGAGCATTAACATTAACAAGTGTTTTTTCAGGGTTTTGAGGGCAATTTATGAGGTGGGTACAAAATTCTTCTGCTGTTGAAAAATTGATTCTTGTAATGAGCGAAAATGGTGTGTTTTTTTTTACCTATATGCGGAGGTGAAAAAGCGAGAAATTGATGAAATCGCCATTTTTGGAAGAAGAAGATAATTTTAATGAGCTAATACAAGGTAAATGGACTCGAAAATTACCTTGGTGTGATTCTGCGAGATCAAGGGAACATATAAAAATCAGTTTGAATAGTATTAAAATCTTACTGCGAGGAAATGTATGGAAGAAGATAGAGGTGGTGGTGGTGGTGCATGATGGCTAGTCCACCGCAACAGCCGCGCTTGCCGGCGGTTGCTGTGCTTCTTAACTTGGTAATGTGTTCAAACTTCTTTATGCATGGATTTTATGCTATATACTTCGTATGAATATCTTAGTAGGTATATTTTGTCAAACCTGTAAATTTACCTAGTGGCAATAACAACATAAATTTGAAGCAAACATAACCATATTATATAATCTTTTTAGAAAGTTGTACAAATAATGCATGGTGTCATGTATCATATGTTCTTGAGTTGTGACATTAATATAAGTTGTTGTGTGACCAGCAAGGCAGCAACCACGCTCATGCAGATCTAGCCTAGCTTCAAGGGACGTCCAAGAAGTTGTATTATTGACATAACACATAAGTGAGTTTTCAAAATACTGTGATTTTACACTGCACTCCAAAATAATGTTAATTTATATAATTTAATTTTGTTTAAAATCAAAGCAATACATTTAATTTGATGTCATTAAACTTTACAAATTGAAATTTCGAAGCCATCGCTAGGTAATGGATGTGAAAGATACTTGACCTTCGCATCAGGATTAAGTAATTCCCACCTGCAAAAGATTTTCAAATTCAAATTAATAAAGGTATGGTGTGTTTAATTTCTCATTAATATTATTATATTAATAATGAGATATGAGTATAGAACACCATTGATTATGTTCTAATTTGGTTTAAATTTGATACGAAATCAATTAATAAGGTTAACTAAAGATGCCCTACTTGTATCCAATGGACAAATGATGGAGAAATAGGGCTAGAGAAACTCGAACAAGCGCACTTCCGGCACAAGATCTTGAACCTCCCCCAAAGGGATTGTATGTTCCTTGCTTTGGGCGGGTCTGCAAAATGAAGTTTTAGTTTGCTATATATAGTTTATGGACGGAAAAGTCAAAAACCACCTTTTAAAATTGAATTTTTGTCAAAAGCCAACCTTTTTTTTGTGTGTGTAAAAAAGCACCTCAATCTTAAATTTTTTTATTTTGTAAAAGAGCCCCTTAATCATAATTTTTTTTTGTTTTTTTGACAAAAACCTATTTTAACATTTTACTAAGAAATATTGAGCAAATTATTTACTCAATTATTAGTAGTTTTTTTTTTTTTTTGAGGAAAATTATTAGTAGTTCTAATTAGCTAACTAAGTGATTAATTGTGATAAACAGCAATACTTACTTCCCATCTATCTGGATTAAAGGACATAGGATCTTTAAAATTTGTTGGATCATTGTGAAGGTTCCTTAGCCATACAAGAACACTCCAACCTTTTGGTATTAAGTAACCTGCAAAATGAGTATATTGTTAAAATGAAATAAATATATAAATATAATCGTATAATTTTATAAATTAGGGAATAAATTGTAACCTTTGAAAACAATGTCATCAGTGGCTTTCCTGAAAACAAAGGCAGAGAGGTTTGCCGTCCTAATTGTTTCTTCCGCAACCTGCAATAATAAGCTAGCCATTTATAGGGAGTGTTCGTTTTCATTGTACCTCATTTAGGTTGTCAAAAGAAAAATAAAATTGTACTTCATTTTTCAAGGAGTATTCTATTTGTAGGACACTTACGTATACATTAATAGGCTTATAAATTATTCACTTCAAAAAATAAGTACCGTATATTATGGAATATTAATTTTTACTGATTAAAATTATGTTTTGCTAATCCATTTTGAATTATTTAAATATCGAATTTAATTCACTCGTACGTACTACACTATTACTTATTACTCATTATGAAAGAACAGTTGAATACTTAAATATTATGAAAGATGATATACCTTGTTTGCAGATTAAAATTATGTTTTGCTAATCCATTTTAAATTATTTAAATATCGAATTTAATTCACTCCGTACGTACTACACTATTACTTATTACTCATTATGAAAGAACAGTTAAGTACTTAAATATTATGAAAGATGATATACCTTATTTGTGTACTTGAGCTTCGAAATATCTTCATATGTGATGCTCTCGTTGCTATTCTCTTTAAACATAGCCTTGTTCTCCTCCTATATATTTAAATTTAATTATTAAGTAGTCCAATGAACAACATAAAATAGTCTTTCACAGAAAATTCCAAAACAATTTAGGGCTATATTAAATGGTTTACCTTCAGATGTTATGTTAGTATAATAAAAGTAACATTAATATTTTTATTTATTTAAAAAAGTCCATACTTGTATGAGCTTAATAAGCTATCTTTTGTTTTTTTTTCCTTTGTTACTTAGCTTGGCATTATTATCATATGTTACAAAAAAAAAAAAAAAAAAAAAAATGATCACTTGGCTTTCTACCTACTTTGTTTTTTACTCCTTAAGACTAGCTGTAACGTATTATGTTTTTTTTTTTTTTTTTTTTTTTTTTACCATAAGCCTAGATATTTTAAAAAATTGAGTAAAGAAATGAAGTTACCCGAAGCTTGAGTAGAACATGAGGGTTATTGGCTAAAAATTGCAGAGACCATGTAATAGCATAAGCAATGGAAATATGACCAACGAGAATAGTGCTCACGACATTATCTAACACCTCTTCGTCGCTTAAATGCCTTTGTTCTTCATTCTTCATTTGCATTAAACTATCCATTAGATCGTTTGTTGTACTCTCTCCCGAAACACTATCATTATTCTTCTGCTTCCTTTTCTCTAGCTCCTCCTTCAGCTTCTTTGTAATCTTCTTTCGACACTAGAACAAATACATACATATATGCATGCTTAATTAGTAAATTGATCACAATATATTAGCCAAACTTAGTAACTTTGTTTTTGTGTAATTTTGCAATCAATAATTCCATATATTCCAAGAAGCTAATTAAGCTAGACATTAATGCAAGAATGTTAGTTACTACAATACTACATACCTCTCAAATTATTATGTCATATGTCGTGCATGATGTGAATAATGTGATGATGTCTAAACGAATTGAAAATGAGGGCGACGTGCATATACCTTGAGGGCATGATGGTAAGCTGTTCCGGGAAGGTTCCATGGTTGTGCTCGAAAGCCATAAACTATGCCCTGGAATAGCTTCTCAATAGCATCTATATGAGAGCTACCAAATTCAAGATGAGCGATATATCTCATAGTGTAATCAAGCGTTACCTATTTATTAGTCATACAAATATATGATTATTATTACTTGTACTAATTAGTGTATGTAATTTGCATACAAATGCATGCGTAAAAAGATAGATATAATTTTTACCTTTTTCACTTGATAAAATGCATTAATTTTAGGCATTTGAGACCATAATTGAAGGGCAGCAACAATGGTAGGCTGAATTTGGAGCACAATCCTCGAAAGAGAATCAGGTTGATTGATAGATTTGACAATAACGCTCTTGATGATACCATGTCGTTGGCCCTCATTAAGCGTGATTAGAGAATTAGTCCCTAAAACTTGGGTAGTCGGCCATTCTTGTGCAAATTTATCGCTTGAATCGAGTACAAATTTGCATAAAGACGGCGAGCATGCTATGATGCTTGGAGACCCATACAAATGGGTTCTATAAATTCCCTCAGTATATCCATACCTGTCCGTCAAATTTGCAATTTGCAAGTACTATTCATGTATTTGTATTATCAATCAAAACATAAGGTACTTAAATTATGTCAAACCTCGTCTAGGGTTGGCTTTGATCATTATTTAAAATGCACATGAATTGAATCGATCATATACAAGTATAAAAGTCCTATATTAGATCGAGATACTTACTTGCGTCTCTTAAAGGCGATAAAATCATCAGGGCGGCTAACAATATTAAAGTGCCATAGAAGCGAGAGGGTCTCTCCTAACAAAGGGAAACCCAAATGACCGAGAGGCATTATGGCATTGGATGCAGAGCACCTTGCCTTGAGTGGTCTAACGTACCATATCTCATTCCACCACCATGATAACCACCCTATCATGGATAATAATAACACTACATATACAATACATATTATCATGGTATTTTATTTGTTTCTTTATTTTGTTGATTATCTTATTCGTACTATATATTATATATAGACCAACAGAAAAGAAAGATGATCTAGTAGTACGTATAGTTTAGCATGCATGTTAAGATAACACATTACATAACAACCAATGTGTATATATATAGATGCCACAAAAGTTGCATGTATTTGATGCCACAAAAGTTGTACTCTGTAGATAATAAATTGTCCACAAAACTAACGTGCTTTGGTTCTCGCACCATGCTAAATATCTTAGGAATGATTTTTTATTTATTTTTTAAGTTGGTGGAATGAATCTTCTTATCGGATCAAAATCTCTTACAAGTAGTCAATCCAGGCCAATTGAGTTTGCGACCTAGACACTTTAAGAGTAGGGGGAAGGATAAATTACATTTCTATCCTCAAAGTGCCCCTTGTAGAGATTGAACCCCAATATCAAGATTGAAAGACTTAATTATCCTTACTATTAGGCCAAACTTTACTTGATAACGTATGATAGGTAGTCACAATACAAGTTTGTATAAGGGATAATTGTGGGATTGACGGTGTTATTAAGTGGTGAGTATTTGAGCTACGCTTCGATATAGATGTATTATTTGATCCTACACCTTAAGATAGTAGGGCCGGGCATAGTGTATTGTTTCTATTGGTTGATTTAACTTGTTTTTAACGTATGATAGGTAGTCACAATACAAGTTTGTATAAGGAATAATTATGGGTCTGAGATTGGCGCTATAAAAAAGTGGTGAGTTTTTAAGCTACGCTTCTATATATGTATTATTTAGTCGTACACCTTAAGATAAGGGCCGGGCATAGTGTATTGTTTCTATTGGTTGGTTTAATTTGTTTCTCAACCAATTACATTGATTGATTGAATGATGGGGGGTCCTTACTGCTTACAAAGCTGCAAGGTTTTTGTCACATATCACATTTTTCTTATGTGTGAGTGTTGTCGTGATATTAATAATTTGGAAAATTTTAACGAGTGCCTCCAGGCACTTTGCTGGAGGAGATTTAGAAAATTCAAAAAATCTATTAACAATTAATGACACATTTTTCATTAGTGATTTCGTCTCTTACGTATGTTATACTACTACAGTATTACGTATTCCATTTTACTTCTGCAGTTTAATTACAATATCTAATACTTCGTAGAAGTATTAAAAGAACACAATCATATTCGAAGTTGAAATTGATCGAGGGGCTTCAACATACCATCAATTTCTAACATGGTATTAAAACCTGGTCCTCTGATATATTCTAGAGTGGCCTATTACGGGTCCTACGATATGTCTATATGTACCATCATCATTGTAAAAGCTTTAAAGTGTTTGGTATGCATTAATAATAAATAAATATCTAATTTATTGTCTAGATATTACTCGATTCTTTTTGTTTTTCCCATTTGAGATCTTGACACTGTTCATAAGTAAGATAATCTTCTAAATTATTCTCGCTATATAAATATAACATATCATGTTGAATTTGTCTCATTGAGTAGTATATTAATATTCAACTACTACATATAGTATAATTTTTTTACTAATATAAAATACTCTATAGATATTTATACGTTAAAATAATGTATTGATAAATGTGCACAATCAAAATTGAAAGAATATTTAAAATCTGAGAGAGTAATATTTAATCATTCATCACTCTTTTTTAACATCCAAATTAAAGACAATCATTTGTAGGATCGTTCTAATTCTATATCCCAAAGAAAAAAAAAATTGATATTATTGTGTGTGGTTAGTGTAGTGATGAGTATATTTTTGACCGGTAAGATTAGCCATAAAGTCTTAAGACTTAAAATGACATCACTTTTTGATAGGTCCCATTAAAAATCATGTCATTGTATTATGTAAGATTCTTTTAATACTCACTCATATTTAACACTTTAGCCCTAAACTCACTTAAGACTTCTCATACCATATATTATTATATTTTTTTTATTTTTATTTTTATTTTTTACTCTAAGTAAAAAAAAAAAAAAAAAATAGGGCCTACACTCAAAGTCTTAAGTTGAGTCTTGAATTTTCAAGAGTCAACTTGAGACTTAGCTAAGATTTCTCAAGAAAAATGGGATCAAACAAAGAGTCTTGTCTGAAGACCCAACATGATGATGTCATGTGGAGTATTAAGACTCAGGACTAATCTTGCTCAGCATTGCAATTAACTCAATCTTAATCAACTAAGCTGTATCTTTACATGACTTAAGCTCAGTACATCCTAATTAACTCAATCTTTATTTTTATTTTTATTTTTATGACACTAATTAACTCAATCTTAAAGTCATGTAAAGATATAAAGTTAAAACGAAAATTGTAGTAAACAAAGAGAAATTGTCATACTTCGTACATATTATTAATGTTGCTAAATGGAATACCAATTGACGCAGTGCGTGTGCACCAAAATGCACCTGACAATTTTAATTATAAATATGTCATCATATTTTATTATTGCAAGTCAAAAGAAAAAAAATATATATATATAAAGTAGGAATTTTTGGAGAGCATTCGGAGCGCCACATAAGTAAAGGTATTATTTCGACCAATTAAAAATTAGATTTGTATTTTATTTTAGAATTAATAAATTCACTTGGCACCTAAGAAAAAGTGACGAATGAGATTTAAGAATTTTGCCATGTAGTTAAAACAACGAATAATGATTTATTAGGATTTAAATTATTTAAAAAACTAAAAATTATTTTACAAAAATAGTCTTTAGATATAGGATTTATATATTTAAGATAAATCTTGATAGTGTTTATGATAAGAAATAAAAATTATTCCTTAATAATAAATAAATTAAAATTGTGATGCATACCATTATAAATTGATGCATCCTACAACACCAATAAAATTTCGTATCAATACAAAACTAAATCAAACGAATTTTGTGTCAATTTTAGTCATCAATGGCTGAGTAATTCTTAGCTTAATTTTTAAAATCCATGTTTAAATGTATATTTGTGATTATTGCTTACATTGTATTTAATTGGAATACTTAACGATTATATGTTTATATTTTATTTACTGAATTTCGTTTTTACACGCAGATCTGATTTAATCAGAGAATTAGATTCAAGCAAAAATGATTGTTAAAGTACGAGTTTCTCGCCTGATAGTCCTATTGGATGAGAAGGTATTATATCTTTATAAATTGTTTACATTTATTAAATTTTTATATAAACCTTTGTAGTTTATATTAATTAATTTTATGATTAGAACAAATTTTTTGTGATTTAATTAGCTTAATTAATCAAGTCATCAAATTAACTTAATTTTGATTACGTTCATACCTCTATTAAAGCCAACTTTGTACAATTCGTCCAAAATTAATTGAACGAAAAGTTTACTCAATTAAATACTTTTCATTCGTTACAAATAAGAAGCAATATTGCACTCATTGTCAGTGACTACAAAATGATGATTTAATATTCCAAAATACTATTGTTCAGGCGATTAGGGACAATGAAAAAACTCCAATGCATAGATTTGATTTTGTACAATTACAATTTTTAGATCAATTTCACAACAATTTTTCACTTCCTGGTAAATATATTAATTTATTTTATAAGACTATAACGATTAATTTTATATAATTATTTTTTGCTAACATGTTTTATTTATCCAGTTTTATTAGATGTAAGAGATATGGGTGTGAACGAAGTAGGTGATTCTACTGAAATAGAAGATAAATAGTATACATGTTTTTATTAGTTTTTAATATTTATATTTTTTTTAAAAACAACTAATAATGATTTAGGATTTAAATTATCCAAAAATAAAAAATATCTTTTCACATTAAAGATTTTAACCTAATATGTAATCGATAAAATATCATATTTACAATTTTTTTTTGAAAGATATCATATTTAAAATTTATTCATATTATTAAATTCAGTTGTCATATAACTAACAACAACGAATAAAATACAAAACAAAAATAAATAAAGTCGCATAATAAATTACATTAAAAAAAAATTATACTTTTGTAATAGGCAATAACACTTTAATTAGATTATTATGTGTTTTTTTCGTCTAAAATTATTAAATAGTAAAATAAATCAAATAATTATATATATATAAACTTAGAGTCTATAGGAAAATATCTTTTCTTGAGATTTATGTATGAAAAAAATCGTGCATCCCATGGGCTTTCATCTAGTTATAATTATGCATGGGAAGGGGTAATAACGAGTCGAGCTCATTTCAAGATTAGGGTTGTTTGGCTCGGCAGTCGGCACGTACAATCTTTCCCTGAGCTTTTTATGTTTATTTTAAGATAATGTGATACGGCATGGACAATCCGAACAAGCTAGAAGGAGAAGAGTCTATTTAGGCCCTGTTCTTTTGAGTTGCTCTGCTCTCTGCTCTGATTAAAAATAATAATTATTAATAATATTAATAATAATAATTAGTATTTAATAATAATGATTATTATTAATATTTAATAATAATAAATACATAATAATTAATATTTAATAAAAAAAATAATTATTACTATTAATATTTAATAATAATAACTAAATAATAATTAATATTTAATAATAAATATAATAATTATTATTAATATTTAATAATAATAACTAAATAATAATTAATATTTAATAAAAAAATAATAATATTATTATTAATATTTAATAATTGTTTAGGGTAAAATTACCTATGTCACGTAGCCTAATGGCAAGCTGACACGTGTCAGCCCTAGAGAGGCTCAATGGGATCCAATCGAATGCTGACACGTGGCACTGTAACCCTAATAGGGGAATTGATCCTCTTCTACTATAAATAGAGGAAAATCCTCATTTATTAGACATTCATAAATACAAACACAAAAAACCGAGTAATATTGATTGTAGAATTCTCTCTGAATCAGAGAGAAAAATCCATTTACTTTCCGCACTTTTTATATATCTGGAGACGTTCTAACTTGATCGTCGGAGGCGGAACTCCACCCAACCGGAGTTTCGTGGTTTTGCAGGTACAGACAGTCGGCGCGCATTCCCGGAATTGTAATTCTCCCGAGGGACTCCAAACACCTCGAAACATTTGGCGCCGTCGGTGGGGAGAGTACTTCTGAGATGGCATTCGATTCTGTACCGCTTGATGAGGGCAAGTGGCCTACGGCCGAACTTGAGGTCCATACGGACCAGGATAGTGGTAACGACTATGAGGTCGACACCTATGTGGCCCCAGACGGGTCATTCCGAACAAGGCGCACCCGTTCCAAAGAAACAAGGGAACGGGCCGGAGGCAAAGCTGGTCCCGGTAACCCCGCCGGCAAGCCTGCTGGGCAACCCCAGGCAGCGGAGGGCACAACCCCTGTCACCAGAGACGAGCTCATGAAATTCATGACAAGTTTCAAAGGGGAAATCAAAGACATAATAAAGAAGTCCACTGGCTCCAACAAGGGTCAGTCGGCCAAGAAGCCTTCTCTCTCCGGGAAGAAGCACATTAAAGACCGGGTGCCTACTCCTCACCCCAAACCAAAGGGGGCGGATGGGCCCCTAATCAATTTTTCCAGACTCCGTTTCCCTGAATCAGGGCAAAGGAAGGCTATCCACCAAGTTCAGCCGGATGGGTTAAAAAAGACTTACTCTGATGCCCGGATGTTCATCCAGGAGAAGAGAAGTCAACAAATGTCTGAGTCGGCCTCAACGTCGACTTACCTAGACAGTTTCCGCAATACTTCAATGAAGTATTCGAAGACAAACC